GATCGAGAGCATGCGCTTCCCGCTGGGAACACAGGAAAGCCCGGCCCGCACCTGCCAGGACCTCCACCTCAGCCAACCAGATCTGAAAGACGGTAAGATCGTCATGGTTACTATGTGATTGACACATTCCTTGACCAATGGAGAGCCATTGCCCATTCGAATCATTCTTATTCTTTTATTCAGGTGAGTACTGGATTGATCCAAATCAAGGCTGCGCTCGGGACTCGTTCAAGGTTTACTGTAACTTCACTGCCGGAGGAGAGACGTGCTTGTATCCCAGCAAAGCTGTGGAAAATGTAAGAACTTGCTGTCATTCACTTTTATATGTTTATGTTTTACTGCAACATCACTAAGACTTCTGAAATCTGGTCTGCCATAGGTGAAGATGAACACTTGGCCAAAGGAGAAGCCTGGGTCCTGGTTTAGTCAGTTTGCAAAGGGCAGCAAGGTGAGTTTATCACCTCAAAACTCTTCAAAATCATCTCTTCAATTCATATGTTTAATTTGGCAAAGTATATGCATCAATGAACCGGAAGCTCTTTATTGAATTGATACTTCACCCAAAATTCTGTCAACATTTACACAAAAGAAGATATTTTGAGGAATGTGTGTCACCAAAGAGTTTCTTGTCCCCATTGACTTCCATACTATGGAAGTCAATGGGGACCAGCAAGTGTCTGATTACTCACATTCTTCAAAATATCTTCTTTTATGTTCAACAGAAGAAAAAAACTCATACAGGTTTGGAACAACTTGAGGGTGAGAAAAGTATGACAGAATTTAAATTTTGGGGTGAACTATTGATTTAAAGCGCATTCACATTGAGAGTGATTTGCAGTGACACTGCATCTAGAAATCATTCGTTTTTAATTAATTCAGTGTGAATGTTTTTTTTAGATAAAATCTAAGAAATATTACAGTGTCGAGTTCATTATTTTGTGAATCATGATATAATGTTGTCCTTCATGTTGTAGTTTTCATATGTTGACTGGAGTGGAGAGCCCGTGGGTGTTGTCCAGCTGGGATTCCTGCGGTTGCTCAGCGTTCAGGCCCGTCAAAACCTGACCTACCACTGCCAGCGATCAGTGGCCTGGGCGGACCTCACTGCCGACAGCGGCTACCAGAGGGCGCTACACTTCCAGGGTGCCAATGATGAAGAGCTCAGCTACGAGACCAGCCCCTACATCAAAGCCCTCGTCGACGGCTGCTCTGTAAGTTACCTCATCCTGATTAAAAACTAACAAACAGACGAGAGACTGCAGTATCATTGTATACTAAATACAAGCTAGCATAATTTCACTATAATAAGGATTTTAAGTCATGAACATAATATTGTTTTTACATTGGATTCATTAAATGTACATTATATTACAATTATTTAATGTAACCTTTTTAACGTTTGTGGTCGGTAACATTCATGTTTTTTAAGAAGCTCTTCTGCTCATACAGTAAAAACAGTAATATTGTGAAATATTGTTACAATTTAAAATAACTCTTTTCTATTTTAATATATTGTAAAATGTCATTTATTTCTGTGATCAAAGCAAAATTTTCAGCATCATTACTGCAGTCTTCAGTGTCACATGATCTTCAGAAATCATTCTAATATGCTGATTTGCTGCTCAAGAAACATTTTTGATTATTATTAATGTTGAAAACAGTTCAGATTTTTGTGGAAACAGTGAAACATTTGTTTTCAGCATTTATTTGAAATATTTTTTTTGTAACATTATAGTCTTTACTGTCACTTTTGATCAAGCTGAAGTGAATCCTTCCTGAATAAAAGTATTAATATCTTCTAAAAAAAATCTTAGCAATTGTAGTGTATATGATTACTGTTGCAAGAATCAGCACCAAGAAGCACCAATTTTATTCAGAAAGTAAAAAAATAAAAAATAAATAAGGATGAATAAAATAAAAATTTTAAAAACCTTTACAAACTTTGTAGTTTGATCTGATTTATGAAATCAAGTGCAAAAATTGTTTTCTAAACAACTAACGTTTTTTTATGTAAACTGCACCATGTCTTGATTACACCATTTATTTTAGGTTTGTTTTTAGAAACCAAAATGCAATAGTGTTTTCAAAAGTTAGTGCTGTCAAACGATTAATCGCATCCAAAATAAAAGTTTTTGTTTACATAATATGTTTTTGTACTGTGTATATTTATTATGCATATATAAATACTAGTGCTGTCAAACGATTAATCGCGATAATCGTTTAATAAAAGTTTTTGTTTACATAATATATTTTTGTGTACTGTGTATACTGTATTTATGTATATATAAAAGCACACACATACAGCATATATTTTGAAAATATTTACATGTATATATTTATTAAAAGTTTTTGTTTACATAATATATGTGTGTGTACTGTGTATATTTATTATGTATATATAAGTACACACACGTACAGTATATATTTCAAAAATATTTACGTGTATATATTTATATTCATATAATTTATATTATATAAAAATATATTTAAAATATAAACATAACTTATTTTTCTTAAATATATACATGCATGTGTGTATTTATATATACATAATAAATATACACAGCACATACTATGTAAACAAAAACTTTTATTTTGAATGTGATTAATCATTTGACAGCACTAATAAATATATTTATGAAAAACAAGTTATGTTTATATATTAAATATATTTAAATATAATATAAATTATAAGAATATAAATATGTACATATAAATACATGTAAATATTTCAAAATATATACTGTATGTGTGAGAATTTATATATACATCATAAATATACACAGTACACAGATATATTATGTAAACAAAAACTTTTATTTTGGATGCGATTAATCGCGATTAATCGTTTGACAGCACTAAAAAAGTGTTTATTATAAAAAAACCTTACACATCTTTTCCCCCCATTATCTTAAGGTATTCTGTCCCTAAATATTTTTTGGCCTTTTCCCTCTGCAGTATCGTAAAGGCTTGGACAGGACAGTGCTGGAGGTGAACACACCTCAGGTGGAGCAGCTCCCTCTGCTGGACATCAGGATCTCAGACTTTGGGGAGGACAATCAGAAATTTGGTTTTGAAGTGGGACCTGTCTGTTTCCTGGGATAAGCACACACATGCTGAGGGCAAGGGGAATACAATCACAGATACAAACAAGAACACACACACACACACACACACTCATTAATCATGCACTTAAAACCTAGACATAAATATCACCACATAGAGATGTGCCAACACTAATAAAGACATTTGAAATCACGTGTAAGAAGCGGGAAACATAGATTCACACACACATGCACACACACATTGTTGTGAAACAAAGTTGCACACAAAGTACACGCCCAGGGAAAAACACTCCCAGCAACAGAGGAGAAGAGAGCCATTCTCGCAGAAGAGAAGAGAAGAGAAGAGAAGAGAAGAGAAGAGAAGAGAAGAGAAGAGAAGAGAAGAGAAGAGATGTTCTGTGATGGCGCAGATACTGCTGGCCTAAAGCGGAAAACCCTCCTGTTTCGGCCCCCTCTCTCTCCTACAGATCCCCTCCCCACTGTTCCTCTTCCAAGACGTCTCACTCTTCCTACCTCCATGCCTGATCGCTCCCATATAGTCCCATATGCGAAGCTTCCTTCCTTCCTTACATTAATAAAATAGAATGATCTGCAGGTGCAACATTTAAACTAAGGAACGGAAGTCGAGCGTGAACGTTCCATTAGAACGATTTCAAATCACACCAGCAGCTGTCATCAACATACGCAATCAAAAGCCATTTACAGTGTGAAATTGTATTGAATTTGATATTGTTGTACATTTATTATAGAACGATAAAATCTGTACGAATTTTCGATATTTTTGTTCATGCCGTGAGCATGCTGCCAATTTACCAGCCCAGTATTTTTTGGTGAACGTATATAAGCTGGTTATTGTTTCATTACAGCTTTTTTTTTTTTTTCGACACACTTTCAACATTGTGCTATTTTGACCCATGGGTTTGTGACCTTTGACCTTTCGTGTGGACAGTGTTCAGGCTGGAATTGTGCATGCGAACCATTTGTACAGAAATATTTTATTGTATTTATTTTGTGAAACAAACAGGTGCTCACATGAAAATGTCCAACACTTGCAGTCCAAAACAATGTGGTATGCATCTGTAGTTTTTTCATCTATTAAATATGTAAATTAAACCCCAGAAAGCAAATCTGCCTTCTCTGTATGATATATATATTTGTGTGTACACTTGGTGATATCAGCTCTCGCTGCATTATTTCAATGCGTTTACGTCACAGCTTGAGGTTTAGGAGAGTTTGGTGCAGGTGGAGACCGAAACGACCGAAATGTCTCGAGATTCAGACAGCAGTGGAGAAGGGACAGGAAGAGGAAGGAGAGGGAAGGAAACTGATGGTGGTTTATGTATATTTTTTGTTTCTTTTTTAAAACATGGCAAGGGGAATGAAAAGCTATAAAAATGATTTGTGAATTAAAAGTTGTTTGTGTGGTTTTCTCACAAGGACAATACTGCGAGGATTGTTTTTGTCGGTGAAAGACAAACATCTGTCTTTATAAAATATGGTGCTAAAACGTGTTTTATGTAAGTACTTCAGAATCTGTCTGTGTAATATATAATCTATTTAAAGAGCTGTTGGACTCCTTTGTTGTTCTTTTCCCCGTTATGGTGCTTTTGATCATATTTCATCTGCCTCTTCACTCTTCTGAGCCAAACTCCCATTTTCACTTTTCAACAAATTAACAGCACGTTTCTTGTGTCTCAGAAAAACCACAATATGTAATCTGGCCACTTTCCTTCAAACGACTCTTAAAACCCTTTTAAATTATGAATTTTGATTTACTCTATTAGTCTGAGTTTTGAAATGTTAACTGTTTTAATTCTTTGACTTGATGTTGTTTTGGTCCAAACGTTCCCATTAAACCACACATCAACACATTTCCTCCTGTGTCAACTTAATTGTTTTTTAAAAGTGGGTTCACAGTATAAAATATTCACACTTTAATTGTATAAATATAGAATTTTAATTTCCATTTGTTACATTGCATACAATATTCTACAGCAATTAAGCATAATTTGAGATTAAAGATGAAGGCACAGAGTTGGTGATCAGTTTAGCGTCATTCAGCAGTTTTCAGCCAATGAAGAGTCCACCTGTATTGATAAAGAGAAAACCCCATGTCAGTTCAAAACACACTGAGAACGAAATTACACATCTTGCTGTTCAGCAAGAGATCAAGCGTCTTACCAGCAACTTCAATGCTGACTCCAGTAATATATCGACTGTCATCAGAAGCCAGAAATGCACATGCATCAGCTACTTCTGCACAGACAAGCAAGGGTGAGAAATAGATATTTATATTTCTGTCATGACAACTCTCGGAGGGATTGGCATGGTAATGTACATTGTTAAAGGGGTCATATGATGCGATTTCAAGTTTCCTTTCTCTTTGGAGTGTTACAAGCTGATTGCAAATAGATAAGATTCCTGAAGTAGCAAAGACTAAAGTCTCAAAACCAAAGAGATATTCTTTATCAAAGTTAAGACTCTGCCACTCCCCCCTAAAACGGCTCGTTCTAACACGCCCCCACATATCTACCTCACTATGTGGAAATATTTGCATAATGCCGCCCAAATGTGCACGCAAAGAAAGAAGGCGTGGTTTCAGTAACTGCAGTTAGTGTTGAAGCAGCATGTCAGGGAGACGCTGTGTGTTTCTAGGAGAAAGCAAAAGCACTTTATTTGGCCTTCCGGAAGTAGATGCATTTAGAAATCTTTAAGATCACTTACAACAGAACAGCAATGCATTTTATGGACGACCGTTTCGTGAACCTAGGAGAGGAGGTCATTCTGACTTTGCTATGACAATCTGGCGCTTCTGAATCAGCTACTGTTTTGTTATTAATTTAAGCATTTGCTATTGACTGTTCAAATGCGGAGTTTTGCGCATTATGTGTGTGTGTGTGTGTGAGAGAGAGAGGTAAGGGGAGTTACATTTCCGACGAGTGCTTACGGTGTTCGGCCAATCACAATGCACTGGGTCAGCTGGCCAATCAGAGCAGACTGCGCTTGTCGGAAGGAGGGACTTTGTAGAAAAAGAAGCGTTTGAGAGAGGCGGGGCATAGAGGACCTACAATAATGTACAGTATTTGAAAAATAATGTGTTTTTTGAACATTAAAGCATGTCAACATATTCTGTTACACCAAATACACAAAATAATGATCTTTAAAAAAGCATCATATGACCCCTTTAATGCATTTGGTCTTGGCAGAATAGATCTGCTACGCTGCTGCTGCTGCGGCAGAGCCAGTACCGAGACTTGCTACTGCCGATACATCCACAACATGCTGCTGTGAGCATGTAAGAAATATTGCTGCTGCAAATATAACATACATGAAATAACCCCATATAGCATACATGAATCACCTCATAGCAGATCTATACAGGTGGAGCTGGGGAAGGTGGAGGGTTTCTGAAGCAAACTGCACTGCTACGGCAAGTACTAGTCATATATTTGAATGTTGAGCAGCGAGCTCATTGGCTACCGATACAGGAGAGAACCAATCAGCTGTGCCATGTGATGATGTCATTAGGTCCGACTAAGTTAGACCTATCGGACTGCGCCATCTAGAGTTTCATGCCAGAACTCTGTATATAATTAGATATCAAATCCAAAACAATTATTACAACACTCTTTTGTGTGATAGGAGTATGTTCATCAATCAAAAGTTTTTCTATAAAGATAAGATATTTACCAGCAGGCTCTCCCATCCTTCCCATTGGAATGACTGCTGTGAGCTGTACAAAAAAAGTGCTCAGTTACAATAAAAGGGCCTTTAGTGTGGTATGTTGTCTGACAATGTGTCAACCATATAATTTATAAATCATATTACATTTTAAGATCCTTTACTAAAGTTCAAAGCTGTTTTAAAATCTAAGAAACTTTAAAAAAAACAATTCTTGCTTACTTTATCGATGACTTTCTCAGGTACTTTGTCTGTCATGGGTGTAGTGATGAACCCGGGCAGGACACAGTTGCAGCGGATGCCAAATCTACAAGGAACAAAATAATGTTTGTCATATAAAAATATAGAACATAAAGATAAACTCATTCTATAAAACTGTTTTCAGTTAAAGAACTCAACCAGCTTATAACATAGACGTAAGCAGACCACAAACCCTAAAGCAAAACATAAAATGGATACAATGCAGGTGTGTAAATGTTACTGTGTGACATTTTCATGCTCACACACTTGCTCAGCTCTTTGGCAGCGGTTCGAGTGAGTCCCTCCACTCCAGCTTTAGAAGCAGAGTAATTCACCTGCCCGATATTCCCAACCTACAGACAAAGAAACAGACACTTAAGACATGATATGCAACTCAAGGTCTGAAAATGTTTATGACTTTATTAACCGCCTGTGGTGTAAAAATGTTAAATGTCCACTATAATAAAACAGTGAGAAAATGAATCCATGTAATTGAACATGATATTGCTCTAAATGCGTGACCTTGCCCACTATGCTGCCCACAGTGATGATAGAGCCCTTCACAGCGCCTGCAGAAACTAAAGCCTTCGAGACGGCCTGAGTCACGAGAAACGTGCCCTGAAAGACAACATCAGTACAGAAGATCAGACACAGACCTGCACACTGCCAAGATGTACTTATAAAGCTCTCAGAAACACTACGGAAAAGAGGACAGCTTGATTGGAAAACCTATAGGCCTATATACACACACTACCATTCAAAACTTTGGGCTGAAACTTAAATCTTTACAGAAATCCATACTTGTTTTCAGCAAGGATGCATTAAATTGATTTTTTTATTTTATTTTTTTATTTTGTTATTTTGAACGTTCTATTCATAAATGAATCATAAACAAACGCATCTTAGTTGCAACAAACTAAGCAGCACAACTGTTTTCAACATTGATAATAATAATGAATGTGTCTTGAGCAGCAGATCAGCATATTAGAATGATTTCTGAAGATCATGTGACACTGAAGACTGGAGTAATGATGCTGAAAATTCAGCTTTACATCACAGGAATAAATTACATTTTAACATAGAAAATTTGAGAAAATTCACATAGAACATTTTTATTTTAAACTATACGAACATTTCACAATATTACAGTTTTTACTGTATTTTTCATCAAATAAATGCAGCCTCGGTGAGCAGAAAAGACATTTTATTAAAAAAAAATGTTTTTTGTTCTTTCACAAAATGTGTGACTCTTGAATTTGCTGGTGAGATTGTGTTACTTTTGGAAAAAGAATATATATATGTATTTTCCCCATCACCTCTTGCTCTAAGACACTCTGTAAAACACTGATCAAAGGTCATTTCTATGACTGTAATTAGTGACATGTTCATAATTAAACACCTCAGTTAGACTCTGGACTGCAGTACCTTGAGATTAACCTCAATGACCTTGTCAAAATCCTCTTCTTCCATCTTGAGAAGGAATTCATCTTGCGTGATCCCGGCTGCATTCACACACACAGACGGCGGCTGGAAGTAGCGGCGCTGCAATAAAACAAGAATAAACATGTGAACTTTCTGTTTTATTGTTTGACCCCTCAGAGCTCCAGAAGAGCCTTTGAACGCCACAGACACGTGTCCCTCACACCTGTACACTTGTCACTAGTTTCTCCACGCTGTCCTTTGATGACACGTCCACCCCCAGGGCCATGTGCTGCTGACCTTTGAGGTCACGTGACAGCAGCTCCAGCGTCTGATTGGCTGATTCCTCATTGCGGTCAGCCACTATTACAGAAGCTCCTTCAGAGGCGAACCTCTGACACACGGCCCTGCCGATGCCACTGCCGCCTCCTGAAACACCACAAATCACCATCCGATCAACACATCTCTGATATGCACAAAAACTTCAACAAGGATTTAAATATTAGGAGAAACAAAACGACGTGTATGACCCTGGAGCACGAAACCAGTCTTAAGTCGCTGGGGTATATTTGTAGCAATAGCCAACAATATATTGCACGGGTCAAATTATCGATTTTTCTTTTATACCAAAAATCATTAGGATATTAAGTAAAGATCATGTTCCATGAAGATATTTTGTAAATGAAAAAAAATACTATAGTAATTTATAGTAAATACTATAGTGTTTTTGAACCATTTACTATAGTAAAGTACTTGAATTAATTTGTTGTAGTAATTCTATAGCTGCTGTGGTACTGTAACAATACTGTACTAAGTTTTCTACAACTATAGGGTATATTATACTACAATACACTACAGTTTACTGTAGTACAAAGTATGCTATAGTATTTATTAGTTTATCAGTTCTCTATAGTTAATACTACAGTATGCTGTAGCATTTATTAACAAAGTGTTGTAAATACTATAATATATACAGTGTAATACACTTTACTATAGTATGGTTCAAAAGCACTATAGTATTTACTATAAATTACTATAGTATTTTTTCATGTGGGTTCCTTCCGTAAATATATCAAAACGTAATTTTTGATTAGTAATATGCATTGCTAAGAACTTCATTTGGACAACTTTAAAGATGATTTTCTCAATATTTAGAATTTTTTTTTTTTGGCACCCTCAGATTCCAAATAGTTGTATCTCAGCCAAATATTGTCCTATCCTAACAAGCCATACATTCAATGGAAAGCTTATTTATTCAGCTTTCATATGTTTGTATGTATGTTACACTGCAAAAATCTAGTCGAATTCCTAAGGGTTCAAAAAAAAAAGCTTAAGCATTTTATGCGTTCTGTTTGATATATAAATACTGAAAGCAATATGGTAGCTGTAGCTTTAAATATTGCATTCGTTTTCACAGTCAACCTTCAGTTTGCATGATCTACAAACTGTTTCGCGTTAGCTGTATGACTTGTTTGACAAAAGTGTCCATCTATGAAATGTTATTATGACTTAAAAGACAGTAAAAATATACAGGTGGCCATTCATAAGACAAATGAAACGCTGTTAAATCTCACCCGTCACTAATGTCAGCCTGGATATGAGTCGAGAGGACGCCGCCATGCTGCTGGTGTACAGTGTGTTGTAGTAGCTACTGAAGTCCGCTAGAGGCCGCTGCTGGTGTACAGTGTGCTGTAGTAGCTACTGATGTCCACTAGAGGCCGCCAAAACACCGTTTACGTTTACGACCTCAAAGTCATATTCATGGACCAAGGCATTTCGCACAGCTGGTGTTTCTTATTTTCTGTGAAAATAACATTAATATGCGCACATTTATGTCACTTAAAACCTTTATTACGTCTTTGATGAGTTAAGCTGAATATCGATGCAAACACGGACGTCTGAGTATAAATGACCTCGATTAAAAGCCATTTTAAGGCTAGAATAATTTATTTCTGTTCTCTGTGTTGCGTTTCTTCGTGGAAACTTTCACTGTTGTGACTACTCGGTTATTTCGTGTGCATTAAATACGTGGAATCAAAGAAACCTCATTCAAAACGGAAATCAATTGTGTTGCACATATTACACGACGGTGAAATTAAGTTGTTAAAATGACCGAGAATTGCATTGACTCGTTTTACTTGAACTGGACAGTAAAGCATGCAGTTACTGTCGTAATGAGAGTGGCGATAAGGTTCTTGATAGTTAAAGATAACGCTTTATTTTCACATAAAAACATTAATTTAAGAAACGACAGAAAAGATTGCATACATCGCTCTGAGGAACTAAATCAACACCGCAGTAATTTACAAATGTCCAGCAATACTGTAACTGACCACAAGAGGGCGGAAGTGTTCAACTGAAAAAACTAGTGACCTGCGGCGCTAATGTTCAAAATACAAACATCAGTATCAACATATTTAAATTTAAATATAACTCAATGTACTTTTTTTTTTTCAAAAAATGTTTTTTGTAAAATAGTTACATTTGCAATAATTTAAGTTATAATACGATGCACAAAAAATATAACTATAAATAATATGTATTTTGTATATCATTTCTGTGCCTCCTTTTCTACATATATTGCTTGCTTTCTTCAAAAAGGTTTTTAGCTCAAATATAGCTGTACTGAAATTCTTCAGGGAGTCGTGAAGAGCTTTAAAGCAGCACTATGTAACTTTTTCTGTGTTCAAAATTTGCTAAATGTTTATAATGAGCGAGTACATCATGAATTCATCTTCCAAACCGCGTTTTAGTCTTATTCCGAATCACTCCGGTACACTTAAAAGTACTTATTTTTTGACTATTGTAGCCTGGTCACCGCTGCGGAGTAACACATACCTGCGTGAATCGCCATAGACGTAAACTTAGAGAAGTAGATCCGGTTGGAATGTTCTTCCGCGGGATGTGTGCAGCTCTGTTTATTAACCGCTAGAGCGCCACAGGTTACATAGTGCTGCTTTAACACAAAGAGCTCTTGAACTGAGGAGTGATAATGCACTGACTGGGGAAATGAAGAGAACAATTAACCACAGTCCTGCAAGGCTGTTACAGCTTTTCCATCTCCATTGATATAATTCAACACCATTAGATTAAAAATAAACCATCAATGACTCCCTGAAGATATGCATGTTTCAACAGACACACAATTTTATAAACCTCTTTGACATTTTGTTGCAATTTCGAGGCATATATTTTGCATATTTTTTCTGTCTGTCCCTATGTTTTGTTTAGAGCTGTGGTCTCTGATATGTAAATGAGCCAGAGGCAATCATGCACAGGTAAGTTAAGCCATTAAGTCTTTATTAAAATGAGCAATAATATACAACAACAGGAGGAAATAAAAGATTTACATACATACACACACATGCAAAAGAAGAGTGGATGTTCAATGGTTCAACCCGTAACATCATAAAAGCTCTCAATGGAGGGCAAGAGAGGTAAAACCTGGGGAAGAAACAAGAAAAGTGTTTGCATATTTTCATAGTTTTATTATTATTTTCAGACCAATAGTGGTAGAGGTTTACCTCTGTGCTGTTTCTTGTAGTGCCAGTATGCAGCAGAAAGAGCCACAGCAAGGCCGATAAGGAAAAAAGAGCAACCCACAGCTAACTTTATGATTCTGGTATCGAGAGAGGTCGAGTCTGAGCGTGAGAAAAGACGAGAGAAAGACTATCAACCAGTGACAGATATAAATAACCTGTTTTAACAGTACATGCAAATCAATACACCAACAGTGCAAGAAAAACACATTTTAAACGCATTTTACAAGCGGGAAACTTCTACAGTAATTCCAGCATGATGGCAGAAGTGTTATTTCATGAACACAAACATATACAGGAGCATTTGAAAGATGTGGCGTTGTATTTGCAGAAGGAAAAGAGGAAGTGACGGAAACTTTGGACTGGACCACATTTGTTGGGTAATGGACAGAATACCTCGTCATTTCCAAGGTAATTGTAATATTATTTATTTACTATTTGATTTTTACTAGTGCTGTCAAATGATTAAGCGCGATTAATCGCATCCAAATAAAAGTTTTTGTTTAGATAATATATGTGTGTGTACTGTGTATATTTATTATGTCTATATAAATACAAACATATGCATGTATATATTTAAGAAAAATATGTTATGTTTATATATTAAATATAATTTATACATGAATATATAAATGTATAAACATGTAAATATTTTCAATATATATACTGTATGTGTTTGTATTTATGTATATGTAAATAAACACCGTACACGTACATATATAATATAAACAAAAGGTTGTATTTTGGTTGCGGTTAATCGCGATTAATCGTTTGACAGCACTCATTTTCGATTAATATTTTTAAATAGCTTCTATTTTTGTATTTTCAATTTTAATTTTAGTTCGATTTTTCTTTTTAAATCATGTCAAATTTAGTCCTTTTGTTTTGCACCAGACCACATTTGTTGGGTCATGGACAAAATACCTGCTCAATTCCAGTCTTATTTTAATATTATTTATATACTATTATAGGTTTTTTCATATTTGTTTTATAATTATTCATTATTTTTAATTAGTGTTTATTTTTTATATTTTCAGTTTTGTTTTTTACATTTTTAGTAATTTTGTTATTGCCTTGACTGTTCCAGTGGTATTTTAATATTATTTAAATACTGTGATATTTTCATTAATATTTTAATCATTTGTATTTATATTATTACTAATAATTAATAATTAGCTAGTTTTTATTTTTGTCTTTTCCATTTTAATTTAGTAAAATTTTTAATAATGATGTTTAGCACTACATTTGATGAATCTTGGACAAAATACCTGTTATTTTGCTATTATTTATATACTATTAAAGGTATTACAGGTATTTTAATATTATTTAAACACTGCAATATTATTATTAATATTTTACATATTTTTTAATAATATTATTATTAATAATAATTAATAGCTAGTTTTTTTTTTTTTTCCGTTTTAATTTACTTTAATTATTAGTAGTGTTTTGCACCAGACCACATTTGATGAACCTTGGACAAAATTTTAACAATATTTTTATACTATTTATATTCATATAGTTATGCATATTTTTAATTAGCTTTTATTTTTTATTTTCATTTAATTTTAACTTAATATATTTTTAATTTTTTAATTATTTAAATGTTTAGTAATTTTGTTATGGGCTTTCGTCATTTTATTAGTTTTTATAAATATTACCTTTTAACTTTTTCTTTCAGTTTTACTTTTAACTTTTTTCATGTACTACTTATATTTTATTTTATTTCAGCTTTTTCTACATTCAAACTATTTTTTTTAACACTTTTATTTAACAGTAATAAGGTCACAGGTCAGTTCTTCTGCAAGAATCAGATGTGAAATGTGCATTGATTGTCACATAATCATCCTACCAATTAGCACTGGTGAGTTCCAGCAGTTATCTAATCAACAGTGAGTGCAGATCACGAGCGTGTCTCACCCCACAGAGTGACGAGAGGCTCCTCCAGACCGATGTGCTCCACTCGGCAGCTCACTGGGACTCCTCTGTGCAGCACCAGCTCCAGGTACGAGTGCATCTGGTAGCTCCAGTCACCGTTATCCATGAATTCAGTAGAGACCACGTCTCCAGTGACCTCTGATCCGTCCAGCAGCCAGGTGATGTTGATGGCCTCGGGGTAGAAATCGTACGCATGGCACTCCAGCTTGGTCAGCTGACCGTAACGAGCCTTACTATTGGAGCGTACAGTAACAACGGGCGGCACTGGTGAGAAGACAACAAGAGAAAAAGTCCATCAGATTTAACTGATGCAACTCTTCAATCGATTCAGACTCTCTGCTTTCATTTCCAGTTTCTTACAACTCAAAAAGGCAGAAGAATAGAAGCATCTTTTATGCTCCGGCTTAATGAACTCAGATAATATGTGAGGAGTTGAGGTTGCTTACCCTTTCTCGTTTCACTTTTGATATAAAGTCTGGCATTAGCTCTGCATATTGTTTCCAACTCCTCCTTCCGCTGTTTCATCTTCCAGCTCTGATTGTTGTAATGCTCAGCATTTCTGATCCCAAACTCATCATAACCAACGTACTTCCCCAACCTCGAGTCATAACTGCACAGAAGCTTTTGGTTGAAGACCAGCTTCACTGTGTAGACCATGTCAGACAAATCCTCTTTGCTAAACTCACATTCATCGATGTCCTGGAACACATAAACATCTGTAGGGAACAGACATTTATTCAAATAAACGTCAGTATATGCCAGTTAATATACGTTCTTGAGGGTTCAATATGCCATAGAAGACCATTTCTAGTCCCCCAAAGAACCTTTCAGTAAACAGTTCTTAAAATAAACTCTTTTTCTTTGTGAAAAGAACATTTTAATAATCTAAAGAATCTTCTTTCACTGTAAAGAACCTTTTGTGGATTGGAAATGTTCCATGAATGCTAAAGGGGACATAAACTGCCTCTATTTTTTATTTTGTACAGTTCTCTGAGGTCCACTTATGATCATTTTACATCATTTTGGTGGATTGTAGACTCAGAAGTAAATGTCCACTGCTATGATTGGCTAATAGTTGTATGTTTGACAGCCTGCATCCTTCACAGATGGACACTGCTGTGATTTAGGTTAGAAACGCATAGATACTCAGTATATCTCAAACGATCTGTAAGAAGAGACAAAGCAATAGTGATCACATAATGAAAACAGTTCCTCACATTTGTGTGTTGCGGCATTGCCGTCGGATCCAGTATAGCTGGCACAGGTAAAACCCAGAACACTCTGTACTGATTCACATCTGATTCACATCTGATACACGTCTGATACACGTCTGATTCACATCTGATTCACGTCTGATTCACGTCTGATACACGTCTGATTCACGTCTGATACACGTCTGATTCACATCTGATACACGTCTGATACACGTCTGATACACGTCTGATTCACGTCTGATTCACGTCTGATTCACATCTGATACACGTCTGATACACGTCTGATACACATCTGATACACGTCTGATTCACGTCTGATACACGTCTGATTCACGTCTGATTCACGTCTGATTCACGCCTGATACACGTCTGATTCACGTCTGATACGCGTCTGATTCACATCTGATTCACGTCTGATACAAGTCTGATACAAGTCTGATTCACGTCTGATTCACGTCTGATACAAGTCTAATACACGTCTGATTCACGTCTGATTCACGTCTGATACACATCTGATACACGTCTGATTCACATCTGATTCACATCTGATACACATCTGATTGGCTAATAGTTGTATGTTTGACAGCCTGCATCCTTCACAGATGGACACTGCTGTGATTTAGGTTAGAAACGCATAGATACTCAGTATATCTCAAACGATCTGTAAGAAGAAACAACGCAATAGTAATCACGTAAGGAAAACAGTTCCTCACATTTGTGTTGCGGCATTGCCGTCGGATCCAGTATAGCTGGCACAGGTAAAACCCAGAACACTCTGATTCACATCTGAAACACGTCTGATTCACGTCTGATACACGTCTGATTCACGTCTGATTCACGTCTGATACACGTCTGATTCACGTCTGATACACGTCTGATACGCGTCTGATTCACATCTGATTCACATCTGATACTCATCTGATTGGCTAATAGTTGTATGTTTGACAGCCTGCATCCTTCACAGATGGACACTGCTGTGATTTAGGTTAGAAACGCATACTCAGTATATCTCAAACGATCTGTAAGAAGAGACAAAGCAATAGTGATCACATAATGAAAACAGTTCCTCACATTTGTGTGTTGCGTCATTGCTGTCGGATCCAGTATAGCTGGCACAGCATCGCCTTTTAGTTTCAATCTTTTTGAAAATCCCGCGTCAAATTGCTTGCCTTGTTTGTAAACGAATCTGTTGCAAAATGAAGTGAATACAGGACCGAGTTCTTACTGACGCGGTCTGGAACTTCACTAAAAATAAAGTTAATTCCCTCTTTCCTAACGTTGGGATTAAAAGCAAGGCAATGCGAAGACTGTTTCAAAGAGTCTTCTTGTCTTCGGAGCATCTTTATCATTTGGTTTGTGCATAGAGTAGACCTGCATTTGCCTCTCTTGTTATTTACACTATGTACGTGAATGGGTGGGCGGGGCTAAACAGGCAGCGATGTAGAAGCAGGCGTTGATCTTCTTCTGCGGAGGCGGTGCTTATCCACACTATTACATCATAAAGTGCCACATTCCTCAAGCTGTCGTTTTGGCAGATTGGCTTCAATATTAGCTGTTTTTAGACTAACGAGTAAGTTTTGTAATTTACAGGATGTTTTTGATAGTACAATGTCCTCTTATATGTCAAAAGAGCCAAGGGAATTTTAATTTCTAATTTCATGGCCCCTTTAAAGATTCTTCACGGAACCAGAAATCAGCAACATGTCATTTTATTCATACGGATTGAGGTTTTAGAAATCTCAAACAGGAATGCACATTTAACAAACCATAAGAAGAAGCTAAAAATGTATTTGATCATATGGTTAGTCACCATAAAATGGCCAGACTGGTCCTACAAGTCAGTCCTGTCTTCATATAATTCCCCGGAACTAAACTCACCTTTAGACGAGACACAACACAAAGCAAAGCCCACCAAGACAAGTCCAAGTCCGAGAGTCCTCATCTCTGTGTTGTTCTTCAGGTGCTGTTTGAGGAGAGCGTTTGAATATCAGTCTGAATAATGAAAGCATTCATAAGCTTCGCTGCTTATGGATACTTCCTCATGATTTAGTATCAATCACCCACGAGACCAGGAACAAAAAGTACAATGACTGTAAACACTCTTTCAACAAGTTGTTTGTCTTTACTAAAACACATTTCAATTATAAGAGCTTGTTCTAAAATATATTTTCACACCACTCTCATCTAAAAAATGTTTAATTACAATTCAAATAAAAATTAAGGAGCATCAAGTGTGAATTAACTAAATTACACAATAATTATTAGCTCAGTTTGACAACCCAATGAACTACTGTCTGACCTAAATAACACAAACCAATCTATGCATACATTTATGTACACTTCTACACTTACCTCAGCACAACATACAACTATAGGGCTTCTGCTAAATGAGCAACTGCCAGTCTGCCATAGAGATGAATGGGAATGTTAACAGATCTTAAAATTGACTCACTGAGGATATTCAGCATACAAAAACAACTACTGCCACCTTCTGATGTAGCTCAAGATAGGATCTTGATCTGTGGAATGCATTTTTACAGATGTTTAATACATTAATAAATTATAATTTATATTTTAATAAATACCTACGTACACTCATATAAAATGTTTTATTATAGTGATTTCTATTAGTTTTTTAATGTCTGTAGTTTTATTTATTTCAAGTGTTTAGTACAAAATAAACTAAGTGAAAAGGAGAAACTTGGCAATTAGCTGAAATAAGTTTTTAAATATATTTTGTTTCAAGTAGCAATTTTTTTCATGGTTTTAACTAACTATAATATGCCTAGATGCAATAAATATTCCACTGAAAATCATATAGAAATGAGCTAATGAAATAGCATGCACCTGAAGTAACACAGTTAAATAAGCTTTTTATTCATTGGAGAATGCTGAATTTCCAAAAAGCATTAAGCAGCAAAACTGTTTTCAGCACTGATGATAATAAGAAATGTTTCTTGATCATCAAATCAGCATATTAGTATGATTTCTGAAGGATCATGTGACACTGAAGACTGGAGTAATGATGTTGAAAATTCACAGGAATAAATTATATTTTAAAATATATTCAAATAGAGAAGAGTTATTTTAAATTGCAATATTTCACAATATTACCGTTTTTACTGTATTTTTGATCAAATAAATGCAGCCTTGGTGAGCACGAGTTTCTTTCAAAAACATTTAAAAAATCCTATCAACACCAAACGTTTGAACAGTACTGTATTTTTCTTTTTTCTTCCTCTTAGCATGTAATTATTTAACCTTGCACCTATATTGATACATGAGTCACTTAAGCGATGACTCTTTCTGACATCAGTGGAGGAATGAAAGAACAGCTTTGTGTTTGTTCACAGGAAGGGTAAAGAGCAGATTACGGTCTACTTGTAAAATGTGCTGAATAAAACCAGGAAAGGTGGGGCAACGCAATGCATTATGGGTTAACTCCTAGTATCAGATTCCTATAAGCTGCTCAAGAACAAACCTTCCTTTTCCAAGGAAACTCGTATCGTTTTAAGCAAATCAATTGCACATTTATAAAAAGGGTCTGAATTTGGGCTGTTAAGCTATATATTTTTTAAATTCGTATTAATAACAATGTGCCAGTTAATAAATCTAATTAATCACATATCAATTTTAGCTGAGAAACCACCCCCAAAAAGATGAAGTCATCGTATTAGATGAGAAAACCATTCAGTAGACATTACAAAAAGTACATTTAGAAAAAAAAATCTAAATTGCATAAATAATGATAATTAATTATTAAAAAAGGAATATTGAAATATGAACCTATTTAAAAAACAAAAAACATATGATACTCTCAAAATGAAAGTCAAACCACTATCAGGTCACAGCAAGTCACTCAAGTCAGATTCATTCAAACATCTGATTAATTCAGAAACTAATTAACATTTTAATGCATTTTTAATTAATTAATTAATAAAAAATTAAATTGCTCCAAATTATAAATAGAATTAATCAAGTAGTCAATCTAGGTCTGCACAATTAATCGAATTTCTAATCGCGATTACAAGTATGGATGCCACAATGACGTAATCGTTCAAAGCGGCAATTAATCGTTCAAAGTCCACTTATGTTATTCTGCGTGCTTAAGATGCGTTTTTTCTTTCTACATGTTATCTTAAGGGTTTTTCCATTTTTTTTTGTTTTAGTATAACATTATAATACCATTCATATTTTTACTTTTTGTATAATTTAAAGAAGAAACCAATCTGATGTATAGTTGACATTTGAGGCTTAATACTATAGAAAAGCACTAAAGGTTTTCCAGTTAGAGTGTTTTCAGCTTGTTTATTTTCATATAAAAATACGGCATGCAGTTGCATCAAACAATGGTATAAACATCATTCAATGTAAATTGTGATAATTGTAATTAATAATCGCAATTACAATTTCAAGGGAATAATCGACAATTAAGATTTTTGTCATAATCGTGCAGCCCTAATCTATGCAATTAATAAATAATTTACTATAAATAAATGAATAAATCGACAACCGTAGTCTGAATCCTATCTAAATGCTCTTACCGCCAGGTTTCCGTGGTTTCTTGCGTAAACACATCATGACGTAGTGCTCCAGCTCACGCAGTGTGGACGGCTTGAGCGTCTCAAAGTCGATCTCGATCTCCTCGGGGTTGGTGTCACGCAGCGAGGGCTCTCGCGATTGGATGATGTGAACGACGCGGCCCAGTTTCTCGCCCGGCAGCCTGTTGATGTCCAGACTGAGCTGCCGCTTCTCATCATAACTCATGGGGCTGGTCTCCTCTTCCTCTTCAGAGTCATAGTGTGGCGTAAGACCGCCTTGGCTCATTTGGTGAGAGTTAAAAGAGGGGGCTTGAGATTTCTTTGAGGATCTAAGGAAAAGAAAAGAGGACAAGTTCATGTTTTTGTTGATGTTCAGGTTCAAATGAGTTGTAAATAATCAGTATTTGAGACGTACTTGCTCTTGCTGCTCTTCTTATTGGAGCCCTTCTTGCCCTGAGTGGAGCTGGCTGCTTTGCTGTTGCGCCTGCTCTTTGGTGTCTTGGAGAGTTTTGGCGTTTTCGGCGGCCGGACGAGTACCTCGTCCTCCATCATACTCCTGGCCCGCTTGTGTTTTTCCAGCTTCTTCTTTTTCTTCTTGTCTTTCTTTTCTTTCTTCTTCTTGGGCTTGATGATGGGTGTAGAGGACAGCGCAGCCAGCTGCTCGTGCACCGCCCTCAACTGCAGACAAGCGAGTGAGTGAGTGTCACTGCGTTCTTTCACTGGAGCTCTCAGTAATGTACAACTACGTCAAATCTGTCAGTGCCGGTTTAGCAGACTTTGCTGGAAAAGTTGAGTCGCTACCTGTGTACACACCTGTTCCTGAAGCTGGGCCAGGCGATGCGCTCTCTCCTCCTCACTGTCGGAGCTCGGGCTGCTCTCGCTCTCACTCTCGCTGCTCACGTCGCTCTCCGACGAAGACGAGGAAGAGGAGGAGGAAGAGGAGGAGTGACCGCCCAGGCCGCCGCCCAGGGACGCAGGTGGGTGGGACTCCAAAGGCTCATCTGGCATCTTGGCGAAGCGGAACTCAAAGACATCCTGAAACAGAGAAAAGACATTTTTAATATCCAGCTTTGGACATAAGCTATTTGAATGGGTTATCAAGGGAAGTGGAAGTAGAGCTGCACAGTTAATCATATATTTCAACTGTGATCATGATTTTTGCTTCTCTCAATTAAGCGTAATAAAGCACATTGCTTGTTGGTTAATTATCCTGAAAATGTTTTTTTTTTTGACATTTCTGTTATCTTGCATTGGTAACAAGCTAAGTTGCCAGATGTCAAGAATTGTAAATCCTCAAATCCTCCAATTCCCAACCTGGAAACCACGCACATACTTTCTTTGAACAGCTAAAAAAAAGGTGCTGATGGTTGGAATACACAACAAACATATATGTTGGAGTTTACTGATTACCAATGAAGTCTAAATAAAGTCAGTTTGTTCCTTCTTGAGGGCACTTAAGCTATTTGCCGCATCTAAATTTGCATGCAAACCTGCTTAGTGATGAATAATAAAATGTTTACGATTGTGATAAATGAATTCACATACGCATCCTCTGTGGTACAATACAAAGTCTTTTTTTGATATTTTAATAGAAAATGTTAACCTAATTTGGACTTAATAGACGGTAGATGCCATAATGCTCTTTTGTAGTGAAAACAAGGCTTTGAGTGATAGTCTAGTCTTGAAAATGGCACACACTTTATAAAGGTCCAAAATCACAAGGTAATGTGTAATTACACTTCATTTGCATGAACTTTTACTAGGTGCTGGTGTTTATTGGCTGTTTGTCCGCCTTCAAGAAGCTTTAACCAGTTTTCATAATGCAGAGAGTGTTAAGGTGTATTACAAATATGATAAATTAGAAAACTAAATGAAGTAAAATAAAACCCTTCATATGATGTGATGACTTACGTGGAACAGCAAATGACTTGAGAAAATTCTTTTAATTCAAGTGCAAGCATCTGTACCTGTAATTTTCGAGCCATGGCCACCACATCGTGATCTGGTGGATTGTACTTGTAACAGTTTGAGAACATTAGCCTGATGTCTGCAGCAAACTGCAACGCATCCCTGTACTCCCGATGATCCATTTTCCTCTGCAAGATAGAGCAAATCATCAGGTCTGATCATGCACATGGTTGCATATTATCATGTAACACATCTTAACCTCTTCATACGCACCTTAATTGTGCTTAGATCCATGGGATACTTGATTATATCATGATAGTCGTGCAGTCCCAGTGAGGAAGCATCTACTGGCTTGTAGAAGGGCCAGGCATAGGCTGCGTGCTTCTTCGACAGCAGCTCTTTGAGAATCGTGCTGCAGTACCGTAGCTGCTGGCTTAGCTTCCCGCGCCGCACCGGCTGATGTTGGTTCTGGGAGTCAGGCAAGTCTTTCCGTGGTGGTTTGATGGGCCTGCCACTGCCACCTCGTCTTGCTGGTACTTTGTCTCCAACCAGGACTCCACCAAGGCCCATGCCCAGGCCGAGGGACAGGCTCTGTGTGGGGTCGGCACCCAAAGCAGAGAGGGTGAGTGGGGAGTCACCTCCGCCCATGCCGAGACCCATCCCACCTACACCCATAGTGAGCGCCATGCCTGTGGTGGTGGGGGTGGTCGTGTCTGCCTTGCGCTTGACACCCTTTTTCTATTAAAAAGATAGAGGAAAAACAAGCTAAACTGCATGTTGGCATTCCAACTAGGTTATGCTGCATATGAAAACTGATTTGCATAAACAGATGTGATTAGGAAAGAAGTTGCCTTACCTTTGCAGTCGGTTGGGTAGGGGGCAGACCCATCAGTGCAGGGTTGCTGTGTGAAGTGAGAGGCAAAGTCTTGGTTATAAGCATCTGCGGTGGGGTGGAGAAGACCGAGTCTGGGGTGTCTGGAGTGGGAGGGGAGTAGGCCGACTGGAACACGGAAGATATAGCAGGGACCTGATGAGCTGTCGTGAATCCACCTGAGACTAAATAAAAGAGACGGAAAAATAAAGAAATGCATGAGCATGAAAGCACACAAACAGCCAAACATCAGCACCAGTAGAATTTTATGCAAAACATTTGCAATTGCTCAAAGAGTGAAAATGTAAAAAGAGCAATTAGTTGAAGGCAGACAAACAGCCAATAAACACCAGCATCAATTAAATTTTAATGCAAATCAATTGTAATTACTCAAATGTTTTAATTATTTAATTTTCAAATAAGTGATATACTATAATTGAATTAAAATTAAATTTAAAATAAGTAATAGGCAATAAATTAAAAAAAAAAATTAATACATGATTTAATATATTGTCATATCTGAAAATTACAATTTCAAACTTTACACACACATAATTATTAAATTATAATAATTTAAATTTTAACTTCTGTATATACACTTATTTATTTTATATACTTAGGTTTTTTATGTTAAACAGTTTCCATGGTCTATAAATGTAAATTTTTTAATTTTCCAAATTTACAGACCTGGGAAAGTCCCAAAAATTATTATAAATAATTCCAAAAAGAGTGATGGACTTAGTCATATGTTAACTATTTACATAATTACATTACATTAATACCTATAATTATATAAAATATGTATAGAATGTATTCCGAAAATGTCCATAACATTATAGGATTTTGTTCATTTCTGTGACTTTTCCAGGTCTGAAAATCATTATTTTGATACTTTTTTTATTCAAGACATATATTAATTTATCTTTTATATCTAGTTATATATGTTTATATATATATATTCAAACAATGTTTAGAAAAAAAAATAGGTCTAATTATTCTGTCCCATCTAGTGCATGCTGGTTAGGAGGAGGAGGGGGGGCGGATGGCAGGCTTCATGCGGCTCCTTTAACTAGTTGCGTTGCTAAGCAACCAAAAGCGAAACAAGCCCACAAAGTATGCAGTGTTGTGCCTTTAGACTTCACTAGTCACTGGCGCTCGACACTAACATAGGGCGCGGTGTGATCAGAGGCTCGAGCGCAGAGCTGCGGCCTCCGCGCGTGTAAATGTTGACAGAAGTCCACTTGGTGCGAGGCGGAAGCGCAACAAAAGACGGGTTTCAGAATGACTCAAGCGTTTGGCGAAACTAAAATCGGTCAACAAACTATTCATAAAGTAGGTCGAACAATCACAGCAGTATAACATAAGCAAAAATAACACCCGATGTGGAGATATATATTCACTAGTTTTTGTAGTCAAGGCACCGCCTTATGACCTAAATCTGTAAGTTACACACCACTGAAATACATCGCAGTGAAATATCGATTTAATACCATAACGCCAGACAGTATTATAAATCAAATTCACAACCACATGGTCACTGTAACACTCTCGCGGAAGAACTGATCGATGCAGCACAATACAATTAATATATCAGAACACACTTTTGAGTCTAACCAACCAAAACACATTTCTAATAACGAGTGGGCAATCGCTCAAGTGAATTAAAATACTAGATAATACTAAAAACACTGGATGCTGTTAGCATGTTAGCCAACCAAGCTAATTTCCCGTTCGCACCCCAGCACTGCATGCGTAATTCAATCAGTTATACAACTCAAACGAGTAGGAAAATAGGTTTGTATTGCTCAAACTTGACAGCCTTAACACGGACAGAGCATCTGTAAATAAACTAATGTGATCTGTCCGCTTCACGGAGCGAAAGCGCGCATGCGCACTAAACGCGGGCAGTTGCTCGTTAAAAACCAGACTTTAAAAACTTTAAAAGACTAACGTAACTTAGTCGCGTAATGACACTGTAAAAAATAAAGTCTCCAACATCGCAATCATTAGAAAGTGTAAGTCAATGCAGCCTTAATACTCCAGTCTGTCATCTGATGTTATCGCGGCAGCTCGCAAGTTATTAAAATAAAATAATTCCGAGCGATGCCGAATTATGACAATATTCCAACAACATTTTCGTTCACAGAACAAGTGCAATGCCATTTACTCCAACCGGTACCTGTCAAAGGGCGGGCTAATGGCCGTCTCCATCGGGATGGATCCGGATTCTGTTTTTAAACCGGTTTCGTTCGCGGATCGGAGTTTCTCGCCCTGTTTTCCTGACTTCCTCTATTCTCCAGCTCAGCGCTACAATGAAATGGCGACGTTGAGGCTCCGCCCGGCTTTTTATAAACCCATCGACGGCTCCATTGGCTGATGTAACGCCATTCGAACACGCCCACGCGAATTCTACAGGCCGCTCTAGCTGTCAATCAAATAGACCACGCCCACGCGTCCCCCGGAGCACGATTTGTGGATTTAAACCAGATTATTTCGCAAAAAAGCACTTGCCTAAGCAACGCAACTGCTATAGATATGTGACTAACATTCAGTCAAACATGTCCGCGAATCATTTAAAGCACTCAAAGACGCGGTAACGTTTCCAGAAACGCTGCGTTTCTCAAGAGTTTTGTGTTACGTCAACAGACCTCGCTGATTGGCTGGCCAGGGCTGAGGCGCGATCATCGAGGGCAGGTTGGCGGCACGCCATTGGCTCAGCCGTTCAGTCACGCGCAACAGACAAATGCGGCACGCACACTACAGCCCTCCGCGCCTCACAGCCTGAAAATCACAAAAATACCACACAAAAGCCCCAACATCTAACCTAGGCAACCTCGTGATGTTGCTAAATTCCCGAAAGTAAAACGAAACCGGCAAACCAGAGGCCTGAAAGAACCAAAAACAATGCTAGGTCTCATTAACACCTCGATTTTTTTAACCCAGTGTAAGAAAACACGTAGCAAACTCAGACCTAATATAAACAAGCCAACAAAAAAGGCGATGCCCTTCTCTCTCTCTCTGTGTGTGTGTGTATAGACCCAACACGGCCTACAAGGAGTGCCCTCCATACAGTGACGCAGCAACTTTGCTTCTTCAAACGACGACAGAAATATGTATAAAACTCACTCGAGTTGGTCAGACATTACGTAGATATTCGAATTACATTAAGATTTTACACAAAATCCTACAAAAATGGAGACTACCGCGTTTAGGGCCAGCATCTAGCTCTAACTAGCAAAGCCAAACTCATCTACAACACCGAAAATAGTCTGCTTGTAATAAAAGGCCGTCGTTATTAACACATCGTGTCGAGGTTTTCAAAGCAGACGCATTACTTGTTTTTTTAGAGGACACTTGAAATACACCGATTAAAATATTTTCCTTTTTAGACGCCTGAAAGTGTATTAAAACGATACGACCTGTATTTTAAAACGGTTTAAGTGAAAACGGTCACAGACCAACGGTTTTTAGTTAAATACACAGCCGCCCATCCCCCACTGCCAAGGTTACAGGTTTCAAACAATGTCATAGATTGTGTACTAAACCGGTCAAACTGTTCGTTGTCTATGAATTATTTAAACCAAAACGCCTAATTTGAATTATTAACATGCAGTTGTTTTACAAAAATCGAATTTTGGTTTCTAAAAAAATAACTCTAAGACACCTAACATATACCTCTGTCCAGATTAAGTGAACTGAATATAAAAAGGAAGAGCAAAACATGTCGAATTCCTCATTGTTGGATAAAATCCTGATTTTCTTCTCGTCTTCAGCCACGTTTCTTTATTCAACACATTTCGCTCAAACATGTCCGACTTCTTCTTCTTCTTCTCCGTCATTGGGTCGAAGTGGGGGCAGGGAGAGTCACGTGACAACCCACACAACTACTCGCGCGACTTAAACTGGTTTTAAGCGGGAAATCCTGAAAACAAATATTCTTTTTAAGATACACTGCATACGAAGGCATTTCCTTAGCGATTAAAGACGCGATCTTTAAAAAAAATCCATAAACTGTAAACTTGTAATTGGTCAGCAATGTTGATAAATCCAGAACAAAGAAGACATGGCTGTCGTTGCCGCGCCGTGATTGGACGGAGCCGGTCACGTGCCTCGCAAACCATCGCGCCATGGCTAAACATTAAACTTGGTTATTTTTGCACCGAGATTATCTTCTTGGATAATATAATCCGATTCCATTCGATGCCTTTCCAAATGCTCTGAATATTACAATTCAGTTTAGAAAAAACCCTGGCGAAAAGGTTTATTAGAAGCACGAGAAATCCGTGTAATCAATAGCTTTCATCTCCTCTGAATGTAATCCTCTCTGCGCATGTGCAGATCGACTCCCTTCCACCCGAAAAACCCCAAAGCTGGCGTTTTGAGCTAAAATTGGAAACTTGTTCTGTG